CAGCACTCGGCGCCTGGTCGGGAAATGTCACGCCCCTTACCATAGCCGCCTGCGAGCTTCAGTGTAAATATTGCGTCAAAATCAAATAAATTTGAGCGCGCTTTAAACCAGGATGATTGTAACCACTCTAAGTTTGTCTGCTTTGGGAAAGCTAGCGTGTCTCCGACATAGTGATAACACTCTGCCTTCTCTAGTGCAGCTCACCCAGGTCTCATCTCATTCGTCGATCTTTGTGATATCACAAATCCCGGAAAATATGCGTTGTAGTCCAAAAAAGTCATTCGTTGTAGTTTTTGAAAAGTGATTTCTGTTAAACAAAATATCTCCTTTTGAAGTGGACTTTGAGCTTTGTAACTTTGCAGATCTTTTTTATGCTCAAACAACAACATTACAGACTAACTAAAGTTGAAAAAGTGAAAAAGCATAATAGCACCCCTTTAAGTTATAAAAATATTCATGAAGTTATATATACATATATATATATGTGTGTATATTAGTACTGGCAACGATAATAAAAAAAAAAAAAAAAAAAACATGATTAATCGCATGATTTTCTGCGATTAATCGCATTGTTATGCACGAAATTCAATAATGAATTCAAAAGTACTGTATTGTGCACTTTTTCATTTAAAAGTACTGCTATATGAACAAAAGTGCAATAACATTTGGTTTGCAAACACTTTAAACAAATAAGGTGCTTTTTTACAGCAGAATTCCTTTTACATAGTAGCAGTTAAAACATTTCTTGTAAATCTCAACTTTTAACATTAATGTAATCAAATTAAATATAAAACCAAAGCTATTTGCCACTGCCTCGGGATTAATGTTTTTATAGAAAATATTTTATAGTTTGTTATAGAAAAACAAGTTTCCAGAGCCTCGATCATAACATTATAACAGGCACTTTCCGAGTAGAGACCTGCACTATTGCGGGACCCAACGCAACAGAGTGCGGCGTGGGACAACACTTGATGGGCGAGTGCGGGCGGGTAGAGACTCGTGTGTGCGGGATGCGGGAGAATAAGAGTGTATCACACTAGGCAATCTTAACCGTACCAGAGTGCGTCTGACCCCCAAAGCCCAGTTCGTTTGACTAGTGTGATGGCTCTGTGCCGCGGTTTGTTTAGCCGGCCCTGGCTCGGTTGGAATAGGTGGGCCAGAACACGGTTCTGTTGAGCTCGGGTGCGGTACATGTAGTGTGAGCAGAGCGAGGAACTTTGGCTACGTGCAGCATGATTGCGTGAACATTTCTGAGCGTTAAAAGTGATAGATCTGTAAAGCAATATATTGTGAGAGGGCCGTGTGTTACCGCGTCCCAAACGACTCAAAATAATAAACCACAAAGTTAACAAAACGATGCACTCCACTGTGCTGAGCGAGAGCGTTTCTCTGCTGCCTTCACGTGCCATTCCTATTTCCCCACTTATGAAGTCGTGAGCGCTTCATGTGAGCGCTTCATGTGAGCGCTGCGGTGCTGCAGTCTTAGGCCTACCCCAAATGCTCTCATTGGTTGAGATGCGTGATGACACCCATCCCAAACCAGTACTGATCAACATCCCACCCCTCCTGTGACCTATGGTTTTGTCTGTATGTGTATTCTGAGCAACGGACTTTCATAATAATAAAAAACTGTGCGTTAATGCGCGATAAAATAATTGTCGACGTTAATCAATTAATGCGTTAACTAAATAATAACTTGCCCAGTCCTAATATACAGTGGGTACGGAAAGTATTCAGACCCCCCTTAAACTCATCTGTTTAAGTGGGAGAACTTGCACAATTGGTGGCTGACTAAATACTTTTTTTCCCCACTGTACATATATATACATACACACACACACTGTGTGTGCTCAGATCAGGATTGTTGGAGTCGATCACCGAAACAGTATCTGCCGATACGATGGCCGATTTTTTGAACCCAAATTTTTAACATGTAGAATTATTTATAGTCATACTCCAATCAGAATGGGGGAATTCCCCTCTTAGGTGAGTCTTGTGGGGCTTTTTTTTTTGTTACATTTTTTAAAAATATATAATTTTCTCACCTAAATGTTTGATCATGCAGTGCATTTTTACAATAGGGCAATTGCTGCACAATAGTTTACACACACAGCACAATCCTGATTTCGTGAGCTGTATGTGAGGCGGCCTTAAGGCCAAAGTATACTGCGGCAGTCCAAGTTCCGTGACACAATTTTCGCCATCAGAAGTGTCCACGTGCAGCCCAATTTTTGTGACCACGCGGATGGCCCGAGAACAGCGCAGGCTGTTTTACAATATATATATATACATACATATATTGCTGTAGGCCTCTTAATAATGACACAGCATCAAGGGTTTTTCCATTTGGACTTACCACCATTCTTAACGGGCCGTGCATCTTCTCCTGGGCGGCCAGGGCGTTTTTGAAAGGAGTGGGTGTTCTTGGAGTGTGGACTATAATATTCTTATGGAGTTTTGGGGTCCTAAAACTGTGAAGACAAAAATAGTATTGGTCATTTCGTGATTCTGAGACTGTCAGCTCGATTTTCTCAAACAGCAGAGGTGAAGAATAATGCCTGACCCTGCATTCTCCTTCTGGTGTTTTGGTGTGGTCTCTCTCTGGTGGGGTGTGTTAAGGAGGCATTTCTGTCCACACACTGGAGTGGATGTAAGAGCAGGATTGTCGAGGCTCAAGGGCTCACCACCAGACACATTGAAGAACTAAATTGGAAAAAAAGTTTTGAATGAATCCACACAATTCTGTGGTCTAAAAGGTGTTTTGTGTTATAAATCTAGCCATACCCGAGAGGGTGAGACACACACACACACACACACACACGCACAGGCGCACACACAAACAAACAAACAGATATTCTTCTATATTCTCCATAGGTTTTGAGTTAAAATAGAGCTTTTTACCGTCCAGGAAGCAGCTTTGAGATCTCAGCCCAGCGGTTGCCCAGACGTTTATGCGCTTCATAGATAATACGATCCTCTTCCTGGGTCCAGGAGGATTTCTTCACTTCTGGGTTGAGGTGATTGTGCCAGCGCTCGCGACACTGCTTGCCTATGCGGCCCTGTAAGTGCTTGGCGATCACTGACCACCGTTTGGGCCCATACTTGTGAACCAGCTCAATCACCTGTTGAGATGTAAAACAGATGATCAGAACCTAAGTGAGACTGAAGACTGGAGTAATGGATGCTAAAGGCTGTTTTGGTGAGCATAAGAGACTTCTTTTAAAACATTTAAAAAGTCTTACGGACCCATAAAACAGTATTTTATGTACAACTTCTAGATTTATATTAACATAATAAGCCGAATAGGGCAAAAAGTGACTTTTTGTGTTTAGAACCGTGTCAGTTCTTCTGGAATGTTGTCATGCAACTTCTAAACAGTGTGATGTAGGATATTGCAACAAAAGCTTTCAGTTCTTCTGGTGGTAGAGGAGGAGGACAATGACTTTTGCACTCTAAAACTCAGAATCAGGACTATGAGGTCATCACACCCCACCCAAATCCGTCATCTTTTGCCATTTATTCATCCATCTCTGTCTTCCTCTGAGGACACAGAACACCCGGCTCGTCTTACCCTCTGATCCTCCTCTTTTGTCCAGGGTCCTTTCACCAGCTCTGGGTTGAGCACCTTTTGCCAACGGTGCTGACATTGACCATCTGTCCTTGCCTGTCAAAGTGCAACAAAATCCCACATCAACACCTGCAGCAAGTACACATACACCTACAATAACATCTTTACTAACTCACAGGCCTGTCACTAATAATACAACATACATTCAACAATAGTTTTGCTGAAATTCAATCTAGCCTTTCCTTTGCAACAGTATTTTTCAGTCTAAAGATAGAACTTATTATGATGCTTTATAGTAAAATAGTATAGTATGGTACAGTATAGTAACATTTAATTTCATTTTAAATCCTTTAAAATATACTTTTAAAAACTGTATTACAAGCCACCCAATGAATGAAGCGTTTCATTTAAGAAACATGCTTTAGTATGATCTCCACCCTCAAGAAAGGGGTGAGGTGATGAACAAGCCTGTTTTATTTCAGAGGTGATTTGCATGCATCATTCAGTCAGGAGGCAGGCCAAAGTAATGCCCGGCCAATGGAAGCGCAAACAGGATCTGGACAAACTACAATCATAGTCCGTCAGATTAAGGCCTGCAGCTGGTCTCCCTTTTGAAATTACATTCAGATATCTCCCATCAATATGTGACACATAAATTTACCAACCCCCAATTTAATAGCAACAAAGAGAGGACAAGAGAGAGTACACACACACACGCACGCACGCACACGCACACACACAAACATGTTGGGTTTCCATGTTTTATGGGGTCTTTCCATAGACATAATTATTTTTATACTGTACAAACTGCATATTCTATCCCCTAACACTAAGCCTACCCCAAACATAATTCTCACAGAAAACGGCATTTTTACATAAAAAAAAAATATCATAATTTAGTATGATTCATAGGGGCCTTTCCTAATGGGGGCTGAAAAAAATGTCACCATAAGGTCAAAATTTTCAGGTATTACTATAGTGAATAATACCAGGGCCACACACACACATTGAAATCTCCATCCATCCATAAATACCATCCTGTTTTTTTAGGTACAACAACTAAGCTGTATGTCACCTTCCTTTATAAACTTCATCATTTGGAAAATCTGACTAGACGTGAATAAACGCTTGTGTGCCAAACATTACGCACAAGATGAATATACTTACTCCTTTATTACAACTCTAATTCACATTAATATAAAGTCTAATACTTATTGTTTACCTCTAAATATGCAAATCTGTTTGATCAATTTTTTACTTATATTAATAATATATTACATATGAATTTCTAATGACTATATTATATAGGAAATGCTTTCCCTCCTTAATCTCTCCAAATCAGGCTGAATTATAGGCTTTATACCTAGATATTTATTTGAGTGTAAATGTATAACAAATGTGTAAATTTATACAAAGAATAAGATACAACTGATTATATATTCACGATATGCTTTAATATCCTATGTTAAACATTAATGTTGATGGTCTAATAATGTAGTTATTATGAAATGACCTATAAAAGTAACTGTCATCTAATACCATAATCCACATGCACTTTCTCTTATTTCTTTTTAGTGATCACTATCACATGTAGATAAATGTATGATTTTAGATACATTTTTATTATTAATTTTCGTACCAATTTTACTTCAGATATTATGAAATAGCCGGTTAACATGCTAGTTCACTTCAGCTGTACTGTTCGATAGGGAACAGCTAGGCTAACCGCTAGCATTCAGGCTAACACAATAAACTAAACTTAAACATTTGAAACTGTTTGATAAATGACATTTGTCATGAGGAAACATGTTTGCATATATAGCAATAAAAGATATGTTTTTTGCTAGAGTCAGTCTTTGAATCATGATCAACCTTGTGGATCAGCAGGTGCAATATGTGATGCGTCACAGGGATCGGACTGTCATATCATGTTAAATATCACCATTTATTAACATCTTAGATGATACGGTGTAATTAAATACTTCAGTATTGTTATTTTGAGCTTTACTGTTGCCATAGCGATTTCTGTTGCGACACAAAGAACTCATCTTGGAAACTCCAGATATAAACAATCTAACTTATAGGATCTCCCGATGTTTTGCAAGTTGGGCATCAACATAAGATCTGTACATTTACACACAATCCATAACATAACTATTATTATGCTTATTTAAATTCATTTTGATTAAGTTTACAAGGCACTGAATAAGATTCATCATCTCACCTGCGAGACTTCATATTGGCCATGACAACTGTGTTCAAGTCCAGTTCGTTTCAAAGAGAAATGTCTTTAAAACATCCAATGTTGCAATTCTTCTTGAAATCAAAACACACAGCTGACATTTATCCACACATGCTAATGTCACACATGTATCTGTTTTCCGTGAAAAGCTTCAGATCCGTACAGTCACATCCCCGATGTAATTTTACAATAAATATGAGGAAACGAAAAACGTCCTTCCACAATGCTTGTTATTAAATAATAAAAGCCAAAAAAGAATACTTCCAATGCGATCTCAAAATGGTGAAGGTAAAACATCCATTAATATAACTCTGTGTTAGTCTTGCGCGCCTTGAACGCACACACACCCCTCTGTACTGTCACTCTGTGCTGTGTTCTCAGCGTGTGCGCTTTTTCCACTCATTCTGTTTCACTTTTTTTGTCCATCCCGCCGAATCTCGCGCCCAGCCTTCTTCCGGAAACGGGTTTGAATCTGCGCACGCGGCCTCGCCGCTGATTGGTTGAAAAAGGTGGGCGGAGCAGCGCGCTCTTGTCGTTGAGCAGCAATTGGTCTGTGTCACTCGCTGACGCCTTATTTATTTGCATGCAGCTAGAGGTAGTGTGAGATTACTTTACCGCTTAACCTTACTATGTTTAAATAATTCACTTGAAGGTATTTTGTAGCGAAGAATATAATTTTTTTGGCAGGTTCTGAATATTGTAATTTACAGCACTGCGAAGTAAAAATATTCTTATTGATCGTATCACAGAGCTTTCTAATGATGTAAGTCCATGCTGCCCTCTTGCGGATATTTTATGATTTTTTTTTGTCTTTGGAATATTAAACATGAGCATATCAGTTTTGTTTGACATAAAATGTATTTGTTAAAAACAAACAGACAAATTATTTACAATTTAACACATTTTAATAAACGTTTGCCTTGCAGTGTTACATATTTCCTACATGCTTTGCTGTTTTAGTCATGATGAATTGCACTTTCAACAGACATACTGTATATTGTGTGTGTGTGTGTGTGTGTGTGTGTGACCCTGGACCACAAAACAATTTTTTTTTTCAATTGAGATTTATATATCATCTGAAAGCTTAATAAATAAGCTTTCCGTTGATGTATGGTTAGGATAGGACAATATTTGGCTGATATACAACTATTTGAAAATATGGAATCTGAGGGTGCAAAAAAATCTAAATATTGAGAAAATCGCCTTTAAGTTGTCCAAATGAAGGCCTTAGTCATGAATATTACTAATCAAAAATTAAGTTTTGATATATTTACGGTTGGAAATTTACAAAATATCCTATATATATATATATATATATATATATTTAGTATATCCTACATGCCTTTCTATTTTTGTCATAATTGTACTCCATATTATATAAAAATTTAGAATATAATATTATATACAGTTGTCACAACAGAACCTAAAAAGTAAAACAAATATGAAACAAATATAAATAATATAAAATGTGACTGACGGTATTCGTGACAGTTCTGCCGCTAGATAGTGCTGTTGTTTATGTTCCGTTACAACATCATTATTCCTCGTCCCCCGCGTCTAGTCACGTGACGGATTGTTTCGGAACTTCGGAACAAACGTCAATGTGTCTTTATTTCATCGGCGGCTCGTTGGTAACACGATGAATGTTGTCTTTTCAGTTAAGCTGGATTAATATTTAGTTCCCAGACACGCCGAGTTTGTTTTTGAATCGTTGCACTTCCTTTGCCTCCCGACACGCCACTGGAGCCAGTTGGATGGAAAGAGTGAGAAAATAAGGCGAGTTGTGTCTTTAGTCTCTTGGAACGATCTGAAGCACGCGAGTGACTCTAGAAGTACGTCGGTGGTTGTAGTAAGTGTTGGCTGTAACAGGTGCATTCTCTGCAATAGTACTACACAATGTACATTACGTAATAAAATGATTTATTTATTTAAAACAGCCTAGCCCAATGCCAGACATACAGGGCTCTACAAAAAAAGAAACAAATGTCACCCACAGTCAAAAGGAATTTGCTTTGGTTGGTTTCAGTTTACAGTATGCTACTGTTTCTTACCTTCGGAAAATGTAGTTGTAAGAAAATTCTTATTTACACCATATGGCCATCAGGATTTAGAAAATGTAGTGTATTTTTTTTTTCAGTCATTCATGTCATTTGAATGAGTTGTGCAAGAGCAGAGCTTATATTTTTTTAGCTAAATTAAAAAAATACAATTTTAGGTTAATAGATAATATCACAAGAGAATATTGTTCTTGTTAAGAGATACAGACCAATAATCTGTTTGTTACTATTTTACTTAATCAGTTATTGTTTTTCTATTTCAGCTGCTAATATTAAGCACCCAACAGCTATTATGTTATTTTTTTATTTTATTTAATTAAAAAAAAATGTTGTAGTCACATTATTTAGTTATTTTATTAAATAGAAATAATGATACAATATATGAAAACAATCCTGCATTATTGAACACTTAAAATAATATATACTGGTAAACAATATGTTGTTCAATATGTAATTATGTATTATTATTATTATTATATTAGATTGAATTGATTTGCATATATATTCCTACACCGTTTTAACAAAAAAAAAGCATTCCGATTTAAATTAGAGAAATGTCATGTAATAGTTGCTTATTGGGAAATGAAATTATGAATCTTACTTGGGCTGTGTCATTTAGTGTCCATGAGCAATAGCCTACTCAATGTTGACAGTTGAACTAAAAATTATATGACCAACAAGTGAAATATTCACCAAGCCTTCCGTTAGGAATTTTTATTGGAAGTTAAACTGTTATAAAGAGAAACATTTACAGTTGGTTCCTTTTTTTAGATTGATCTCTTTCTAACTGTAGGATTACTCTAAATGCGAGATGAAACCAGAGAGTTTCAAAGGCGAACCTGTACTGATGCATTTTTTGCACAGCATGAATCTAGATTTTAATGTGTGATGTGCCTGTGCAAGTTTATACCTGTTCCTTTGTACTTTCGTTTTGCTGCTCAAATCTGTTTGAGTGTTTGAGTTGTTGTTATATGATGAGGTCATATAACAGTAACCTTTTGACAGCTCCAATGTAGTGATGACATTAACTAAGTTTCTTAAAATTGCATAATAATGAGCCTGGATCTGTTCTATTTTTTTTCCCATATATTATTTTGTTCATTTGAAATATGCCCTTTAGAGAGATCTTTCATTTCTCATGTCATGCATAAGGAAGCCCGGCTTCTTGTTTCAGTTTAAAGGTGAAGTGACTCTCTGGCTCTGACACTGGAACAGACATTTATATGAATGTGTGCTATGCTTCCTGGTGGCTGTTTTTAGATGAACAATACATGAGACATCTTGTATGCAGGTAAATCATTAGGGCTGGGCAGAACAGTGAATTAATTTACATATTTAAACCAGTACTTACGTATGCATGTGTGGTTTCAGAAGTAGTCCATTAAATCATTAAACTATCCAAGTTTTTGAATAGTTGACCACGCAGGCAAATAAACCTGTAACATTCCTCCAAGTTCGCAGGAATGTAGAAATACAGATCGCAGTGATATGGTAAACGGTGTCTGCAACTGCTTCAGTCTGTTATCTCATCTGCACACATTTAGTTTGTATTTCATGTCACGCAATACAAGAGTAACACCGGAGGGTTTAAAATAATCTCACTGCTTGTTTAAAAAAAATTAGTATTGTATTATGTATAAAGACGTCTATTATTCTATAAAATTGTCTGTTTTTCTTTCTGTATTGTTTTGGCGCTCACCAATTTGATGAGGTTGGTGCATTTAAATCCAGCATTTCTTTACATTCTAAATTATTATGAATTATTTATTTATTATTTATTTATCATTAATCACATTTTTGGAACATAATAAATCTTTTTATTGATTTTGTAAAATACCAGAATTTCTGTTAGACAGTTAGAAGGCATTGGAGGTTTCTGCAAGGCCAAGTCAGTATACTTTTGAAAATTATATATATATATAAAATATTAAATTAATATTAAATACTATATATAATTACAGTATTATTTGCTTAATTTAAAACAAATTCTGTTTCTACTTTCTACCTTATATATACATATATGTATATATTTATATGTATATTATATATTTATAATGTACATATTTATAAAAGTATATGTAAGGTTAAAATATAAACCTCAGAACCCCCAGAAAAATATAAATCTTTCTAATAATATATTTTTTGACCTGGCATTAAAGTAATATTGTTGCTGAAAATGCTGATTTTTTTTCAGTCAATATACAGAAGAATGTCCTTATTTCATGCTTGAACAACGATTCAAAAAATAACAGAAAAAGTACTGGCAGCTCATTACACACAACATTATCCATTAATTTTACGGACATTTATGTTAACTCTAAAACACAATGCAATGAAATGTAAAATACTAGTAAAACACCTGTAAAAAATTAATACCGAAAAAATTCCTTCAAATTATACAGTATATTGTGCCCTATTTTACAGATTTTTTTTAGAGTGTAGTTTTATATCATAAGCTGTTCTTGAGAGGTTCCTCCTGGCCTTTAAATCTGCATCTTGTAGGTACAGTGCAGCATTATCTAAAAATACCTCTTGTACCTCAGAGGGGAAGGGGAATGTCGCCCACCAAGTGAGCATTCGTGTGTTGCGCTTGACAGAGGGAGTATGTGGAAGTGGCATATGAAAGAAAAATGTCCCCGTTTGCTCCCTCCCAGCTGGAGAGAAGCAGAGGGGAGGATGAAAGAGAGTGAGGAAAAGAGAGGTGGAGACTCATCGCTTGGCCGCCCAGACTGAGGCTCCTCTCTGTGTTCATGCCACAGTTGATTAGTGACTCTTGGTCTTCCTGTCCTGTCATACAAGGCCCAAAGAGCCCTCTGGAGCTAAAGTGGACGCTGGACACTGCTGAAAAGAGTGCTTGTGAACATCTCACTTATGTTTTGGTACGTTTGTGTTCTGTGCAGGACTAATGGAGAGTTACCATCAGAATCAGGTGTGCCAGAGAGGCAGGG